CTGCTAGCTATCATTATCAATTCTTCATCTATTTGCTTGACATTTTTTGTGTGACTCTTATCTTGAGCCACTTCTCAAATGTATGATTTTGGCTTCAACCAAAAGAGCAAACATGTTGATTGGCCAGTCTGGATTTTTATTTTTTTATTTCTATAAACTTTCATTTTTTGTTGTAGGAAGGATGAAGATTATCTATATTTTAAGTTTCTGCTGTCAATGTGTTGGAATTTTCTTCTTACAGATTAGTTTCCAAGAGTTCAAAAACAAGCTTCTGGAACCAGGTTTAGTTGACCATATAGTTGTTGCTAACAAATCAGTTGCAAAGGTGTATGTGAGGAGCACACCTAAGAATCAAATAAGTGATGATGTTGTCCAAGGGCCTGTGGATGGTACATCTGCACAAGGACGTGGGGGTCACTATAAATACTACTTCAATATTGGAAGTGTTGAATCTTTTGAGGAGAAGTTGGAGGAAGCCCAAGAAGCATTAGGGATTGACCCACATGATTATGTTCCTGTGACATATGTCTCTGAAATGGTCTGGTACCAAGAGTTAATGAGATTTGCTCCAACATTATTGCTTCTGGGAACCCTCATGTATATGGGAAGAAGAATGCAGGGTGGACTTGGTGTTGGTGGTGGTGGTGGGAAGGGTGCCCGTGGAATTTTCAACATTGGGAAAGCCCATGTAACCAAAGTGGATAAAAATGCCAAAAATAAGGTTAGTTTTTTTGGTTCCTTAATGAATGTGGGCTTTTTTTGCTTCTCTTAATCTGATTCTTTTTAAGTTGTCTTATTTCTCTGACCAAAATCATGATTTCATCTCTATGTTGCAAGAGTGTTACTGAAATGTGATACTCCCCTCCTTTCCCTTTCTTTTTCTGGTTAATGCAGATCTATTTCAAAGATGTTGCTGGCTGTGATGAGGCAAAGCAAGAGATTATGGAGTTTGTGCACTTTCTCAAGAATCCGAAGAAATATGAAGAGCTAGGAGCAAAGATTCCAAAAGGTGCTCTTTTGGTTGGCCCTCCTGGCACAGGAAAGACCCTCCTAGCAAAAGCAACTGCTGGGGAGTCTGGTGTGCCTTTTCTATCTATATCTGGTTCAGAGTTCATGGAGATGTTTGTAGGTGTTGGACCATCCAGGGTTAGGAACTTGTTCCAAGAAGCAAGGCAGTGTTCTCCTAGTATAATATTTATTGATGAAATCGATGCAATTGGTCGAGCAAGGGGGCGTGGAGGCTTCTCAGGAGCTAATGATGAACGTGAAAGTACTCTAAATCAATTGCTAGTGGAAATGGATGGTTTTGGAACTACTTCTGGAGTAGTTGTCCTTGCTGGCACTAACAGGCCTGATATTTTAGACAAAGCTCTACTGAGACCTGGGCGATTTGATCGCCAGATTACTATAGATAAGCCCGATATTAAGGGGCGTGAACAGATATTTCAGATCTACCTGAAAAAGATTAAACTCGATCAGGATCCTTCATATTACTCTCAGAGACTTGCAGCCCTGACCCCTGGGTTTGCTGGAGCTGACATTGCAAATGTTTGTAATGAAGCTGCTCTAATAGCTGCAAGGAATGAAGGGACGCAGGTTACGATGGAACATTTTGAGGCAGCTATAGATAGGATAATTGGTGGTCTGGAGAAGAAGAACAAGGTAATGACTTCTTTTGACCTTTTATATATATATATAATGAGAGCTCTCTTACCTTGTGTTTTATTTTCCAGAGTTGACAATGACAGTTCCCTTCTTTTCCATAGGATCCTGTTCTTTTTTTCATTCACCCCTGATAACTAGATTTTCTTTGTTCTCAATTAGGTAATAAGCAAGCTTGAACGCAGGACTGTTGCTTACCATGAATCAGGTCATGCTGTTGCTGGCTGGTTCTTGGAACATGCAGAACCCCTCTTGAAGGTAACTATTGTTCCCCGTGGAACAGCAGCACTTGGATTTGCTCAGTACGTTCCAAATGAGAACCTTCTCATGACAAAGGAACAACTTTTTGATATGACATGCATGACCCTTGGTGGTCGAGCTGCTGAACAGGTAAATATTAAATTTTACATTCCTTGCAGGTATGGATAGCTATGAAGTGTGGTGGTGACATTGATAGGTGTTTATTCATTTTGTGATCATAATCGTCCTTCTTGTTAGTAGTAGTTTGTATTGTGCCCCAATTCTATCTTTAAACTTGTTATTGTGTTTCATCCTTGCAATGATTAAATTATATTTTTGTTAAGCTTAACTATAATGTGATTGCATTAATTCCCTTCTGATGCAGGTTTTACTTGGAAAGATATCAACAGGAGCCCAAAACGACTTGGAAAAGGTAACAAAAATGACATATGCCCAGGTGGCAGTATATGGTTTTAGTGATAAGGTGGGTCTCCTTTCTTTCCCTCAAAGGGACGAAGGATTTGAGTTGCTCAAGCCCTACAGCAATAAGACCGGAGCAATTATAGACAAGGAAGTGCGCGAGTGGGTAGCAAAGGCATACGAACGCACTGTCGAACTTATAGAGGAACATAAACAGCACGTAGCCCAGATTGCTGAACTGTTGCTTGAGAAGGAAGTTCTTCACCAAGATGACTTGGTTCGAGTTTTGGGTGAGCGACCATTTAAACCAGCCGAGCTTACAAACTATGACAGATTTAAGCAAGGGTTCCAAGAAGAAGATAACAAAAGTAAGCAGACCCCTGAAAGTGGAACTACGGACGATGATAGGTCATCCCCTCTGGAACCTCAAGTTGTTCCCACATAATTACCAAGGATATTGTGATATGTACATTGTTTGATTACTTGTTTTTGTTTTCTTTCGATGAACTGTTCTATACAATTTTCCCCATTTTAATGTCAAATTTTCTCTAGAAAACGTGGAGGGGAAGCATTCAAGTTCCATCTCTTAACCACTTTAATCAGTCTTTGTATATTGTTGAATTTACTTTTTATTTATCATAGAAACTAATGTTTTCTTCTCCCGTTTCCTTTAGCGTTTGTAACTTTGTATTGCCAAGGGAAAGGAAAT